GTGGTTCTTTCCCTGGACTTGTGATCGACACTCAGCTGAGTACTTGCGGAGGGAGGACCTTTCTGCAGACTTCAGTGCTGTCTCTGCGCAGCCCTGCAAAGCCAGCCGCCTTGCCCCCTGGCCCAGCTCTGTCCGCCCCACCGTAGGGCTCTGTGTGCTTGGCCTGGGTTCTCCCTTCATGTTGTGCACCCTGGAAAGTCCAGGCCGAACCTGGGACAGTTTGGGGCTCGCTCCCGCTGTATCCCACCTCCCAGGGATCACTGCCCGTTACTGCCTCGCGTCCAGGGTTGGCAGACATGTGTCTTGCTCAGTTGGTGGTTGTTTGGGAGAGTAAGTCTGCCGTCTGTTGCTCCGTCTTGACTGGAAAGCGAGTGGCAGCTCGGTTTTCATTTTCCTGGCTTTCGTCTTCCCCTAACCGCTCCTAGCTGCTTGTATGGCGAGCACCCATCCGACCTGGCTTTTCTTCCTCCTCCAACAGGCCGGACTTTGCCCGAGTGGCAGGGTGCCTCACCCTTCCTTTGAGAAGCAGTGGTGACTGATCAGCTGTTCCTTTTGCCTCCTTTGCTCTGTTAGAATCGTGGCCCTGGTGGCCTTAGAGAGTCCGCTTTCCCTTCTTTTTTTGTGATTGTCTTATTTCACTCAGCGTAATGCTATCAGTTCATCCATGTTTTAGCACACTGCAGAATTTTCTTCCATTTTAAGGCTGAATAATACTCCACTATATGCAGAGACCACATTTTGCTTCTGCATGTACCTGTTGATGGGCGCTGAATTGCTTCTGTGTCTCAGCTCTTGTGGATATGCTGCCATGAACACGCTGCACAAATACCTGTTCGAGTCCCTGTGTTCTTTTGGGTGTATTTCCAGAAGTGAAATTGCTGGCTCACATGGCAATCCTGTGTTTAGCTTTGTGAGGACCCTCTAAACTGTTTGCACCATCGCACTGGCCCACCCACAGTGCACACGGGCCCGGTTTCGCCACATCCTTGCCAACAATTGTTTCTGTTTGTTTTTTTAAATTTATTTTGAGAGAGAGAGTACATGAGCATGAGCTGGGTAGGGGCACAGAGAGAGGAGAGAGAGAATCCCAAGCAGGCTCCATGCTGTCAGCGCAGAGACCCACGTGGGACTCCATCTCACAAACTGGGAGAGCATGACCTGAGCCAAGATCAAGAGTCAGATGCTCGGGGCGCCTGGGTGGCTCAGTCGGTTTAGCGTCCAAGTTCAGCTCAGGTCATGACCTCACGGTTCGTGGGTTCGAGCCCCGCGTTGGGCTCTGTGGTGACAACTCAGAGCCTGGAGCTGCTTCAGATTCTGTGTCTCCCTCTCTCTCTGACCCTCCCCTGCTCATGCTGCTTCTCTCTCTCTCTCAGAAATAAATAAAACATTAAAAAAAAAAAAAGAGAGAGATGCTCAAGTGACTGAGCTGCCCAGGTGCCCTGTGTGGTTTTGTTTTGTCCTAATGGTTTGAAGTTATATCTCATTTTGATTTTGATTTGCATTTTCCTAATGGTTAATAACATTGAGTATCTTTTCATGTACTTATTTGCCATCTGTATATCTCCGTTGGAGAGATGTCTGTTCAACTACTTTGCCCCTTTAAGAAAAAAATTTGTTTGAGTTGTAAGTATTCTTTATATATTCTGGATACAATTTCCTTATCGGATATGTGATTCACACATTTTCTTCCACTGCATGGGTTACTTTCTCACTCTGTTGATTGTGTTCTTTGAAACACAGAACTTTTTTTAAAATTTCATTTTTTCAGCTTTATTGAAATATTATTTACATATAACCTATTTAAGTTTAAGATGTACAATGTGATGACTCAAACTTATATATTGTGATATAAGTACCACAGTAAGGTTAATTAACACTTCCATCCTTCACATTACTTTTTTTTTTGGTGGAGATAACATTCAAGATCTACTTTTTTTTAATGGTTCATTTATTTTTGAGAGAGAGAGAGTGAGAGAGCGAGCATGAGTAGGGGAGGGGCAGAGAGAGGACAGAGGACCTGAAGCAGGCTCTGGGCTGACAGAGCCTGATGTGGGGCTTGAACTCACGAATCGTGAGATCATGACCTGAGCCAAAATCAGATGGCCAAAAGCCACCCAGGCACCCCAAGATCTACTCTCATAACACGTTTCTTTTTTCCCTTTTTTCTTTTTTAAGTAAACTCTGCACCCAACACGGGGCTTGAACTCACGACCCTGAAATCAAGAGTCAAATGCTCTGCCGACTGGGATAGCCAGGCACCTCGGCCACTTTCAAGTGTGTGATACAGTATTGTTAATTATAGTTACCACTCTGTACTTTAGATCCCAGAACTTAATAATCTTACAGCTGGAAGTTTGTGCCCTTTCACCAACATCTCCCCCACCCCCACCCCCACTTCCAGTGCTGACAGCTGCCATTACACTCTGTTTCTAGAAATTTGGCTTTTTTGGATTCTACATATGAGTGTTTGTCTTTCTCTGGCTGATTTTACTTAGCTTAGTGTTCTCAAGGTCTACCTGTGTCGTCACAAAAGGCAAGACTTCCTTTTTTTATGGCCAAATAATATTCTATTCTATATATACATATATATACACATACATACATACACCAGTCATCTTTATCCGTTCATCTCTCGATGGACGCTGAGGTGGTTTCCGTGTCTTGGCTATTATAAATAGTGCTGCTGTGAACATGGGGTGCAGATGTCTCTTCGAGATAGCGATTTCATTTCCTTTGGCTCTATGCCCAGAAGTGGAATTGCTGGATCATGTGGTGTTTCTATTTTAATTTTTTGAGTAACCTCCATATTTTCCGCAGTGGCTGCCCCAGTTTGCATTCCCTTTTCTCCACATCCTCACAACCCAACACTGATCCCTTGTTTTTGTTTTTGTTTTTTTAATGTTAGCTATTCTGACCGGCGTGAGATGGTAGCTCACTGTGGTTCTGATTTGCATTTCCCTGATGATGAGTGATGCTGAGCATCTCTTCCTGTGTCTGTTGGCCATTTATACGCCTTCTTTGGAGAAATATATGTCCTAGTCGTCTATTTTTTATTTGGGTTGTTTGGTTTCGTTTTTTGTTTCTTGTTTTGGCTGTTGAGTTGCATGACTTTCACATATAGTTTGGATATAAACCCCTTATGCCATGACAGTTTGCAAACGTCTTCCATTCTGTAGCCCCCTTTTCATTTTTCTGGTTGTTTCTTTTGCTCTGCAGAAGCCTTTCAGTTTGATGTAGTTCGACTTGTTTATTTTTGCCTTTGTTGCTTGCATTTTTGGTGTCCTATCCAAAGCTCGTTGCCAAGACCAATAATTTCAAAGAGCTTTTTTCCTAGAAACACAGAAGTTAAAAATTTTGATAGTCAAATTTATTTTCTCTTTTGTTGCTGTGTTTTTGTTCTCATATGTACAAATGTGGATGTGTTGACACATCCACTGTCCTGACGCCCTTCCTCTATGTTCTCTGCGCAGTTTTACAGAGAAAAACTTACAGTTTTATCTCTCATGTTTATGTCTTTGATCCATTTCGAGTTAATTTTTGTGTCTGCTAAGGTAAGGGTCCAGTCTCCGTCTTTTCTCAGAGATTTTGTAATAAGGGTATTCTGTTAGTCATTTGCCAATTGACTTGCTCCTTGAGAACCTAAAATAGAAAGACTTCTGACAGATTGGCCTCAGAGCCGGTTTCCTAAAGCCCCCTGGCCCCTCACCTGGTGGCCTCACCTGTTCGTAGCCCATCCCTGTCCTGGCCTGCGTTCTTCTGACCATGTTTTCTCCACTCCTTGGGCACAAAGGCAGGAACTTAGTCCAGGTCTGAGATCTGCCCCCTCGCTGCCTCCTTTCATGACTTCATATTCTCTGTAGGGAACACCTCCGTGTCTGCCCCCAGCTCTGCGTCCCAGGGGCCCCTGTGCACCCCATATTACAGCTGGGTGTGTTCATGACGCACACCTGGCTCATACGCTGCCCTGCTCCGGGAGGGACACCCACTCTGGTGTGACATCACAGCTGCAAACCATGCCCACCCTCCGGCCTGCACCCCCCTTCCTAGCCCACACCCTAGGCAGGGTTCTCAGAGCGAGGGGGTGGGGCTGGGAGGCCAAGCACGCGTGTGCAGGTTGGATATCCCCCTCCGGCGCTTCCCAGGCCCCGGATGGCCGCCCCAAGCTGTGCCCCTGCTGGGTCTTTTCCCTGGCTGGGCGCTCTGGCTGCAGACCCGGCCACTGTAAGGGCTGGGCCGGGATTGGGTGCATCCGGCCCCCTCAAGCTCTGCCTGTATTTGTCTGCATTTCCCTGACCTCCACTGATGCCGCTTCTGTCCCCAGGGCCCCCCGTGTTTATCTGTCAAAGCCCAGGAGCTTCACGTAGTTTGCTGATTTGTGAGTGCTTGGGAGTTTGGCTTCTGCAGGACACATCTGTCGAGCAGTGATAACATTCTGTCAACTAAGTGTGTAGTGATGATAAGCACATACCTTTATTGGGCCCTTATTATGGGCTGGGCACTTTATCGGGTTTGCAGGTTACCTCATGTAACCGTTAAAACAACGGTGAGAGGTAGGTTACGTTAGTTCTCTTCCACCTGAAGGCACGGAGACACCTGGTCAAAGACACAGAGACGCCTGGTTAACTAATCCACTTGTGGAGGGAAGGGCTGAGGATTCTAACCCAGGGGAGAGATTTCAGAGGCTCAGGTACAACCCCTTCACTATACTATCACAGGACTGAAGGATTTTTAGCATCTTTATGGTGAATTAATGTCTGTATCAAACTTCCTCACAAGTGCCCTGCCAAGAGCATATGGAGCCCCACAGCCCATATCCATGTAATATACATTGACCTTGACCTCCTCACTCATTCACATCCTCTCCTCGTGCTGACCTTGACCTCACTCAGTTCACATCCTCTCCTCACGCTGACCTTGACCTCACTCAGTTTGCATTCTGTCTCCTCATGATGACCTGACCTGTAAGCCTAGTTTACATTTGTCTCTCCCTCTTGCCCTAGACTTTGACCCTCACCACTTCTGGCACTGGAGCAGCTTTGGGGACTACGTGCAGTGCGTCCTGGCCTTCACGGGCGTGGCGGGCTACATCACGTACCTGTCCATCGACTCGGCCCTGTTTGTGGAGACCCTGGGCTTCCTGGCTGTGCTGACCGAGGCCATGCTAGGTGTCCCGCAGCTCTACCGCAACTACCGCCACCAGTCCACTGAGGGAATGAGGTAGGCAGGCGCGGTCGCTCTACTAGACCCGTTGGCACCCGTGGTAAGAATCGAATGTGCACGAATCAAAAGCCAAACAAAATATGGCTGCCGTGTTTTCAGATATGTTTGTAAAACCACCGGGTAAAGAGCAGTGTGAACACATTGGTCCTTTGACGTCTGGATGTGTGAGCGGAGATGTTAGTGTGGGACAGTTGGGGAGGCCAGGGCCCTCTCGTGAAGCAGATGTGCGGCGCAGGATCTGAGAGCCACCCTTTCAGGCTGGGCCTGAAGCACCCTAGTGGGAGGGGCGTTCTGAGCGTAGAAGGGGACGAGGGGCGAAAGCTCTGGCCGCAGAGCAGGGAGGCGGCACTCAGTGGCGGGGACCCCGTACCATGGGTTATGCTCTTGGAAGCAGCTGTGCGTCTGGCAGAGCAAATGCGCTGTTGCCGTCTGGGTCTTCAAATGGCCTCCGAGTAATGGGAGGCCAGTGGGAAGCAAGTCTCGAAGGCGTTGGGTAGAGGCCTCCTCTGTCCTGGCCCGATGAGAGTCTCCTGTGGCACTGGAGTAGAGCGTCCGTTGGAATCCCAGGGCCCCCTGGATTGGCTGGTTCAGAATCTTTGTCATTCCTACTAGTTGTTCCTCTAGCACTTGCTTGCTTCCTGTGATGGGGAGCTCCCTCCCCATGCAGGCACTTACACCCATGCAGGGCTCTCTAGAGGCCCCGTAGTAGTACCTGAACCCCTTGTGCTTTCTTCCCTGAAAGCCGCGCAGACCCTCGGCCCCTCCTAGGGTGGTTCTGTGTGTGTGAAGGCAGCATCGTGACCCTACCTCCCTGGGGGCCTCTTCTTGTGCTTACCCTCCTCAGGTGCATTGGCTCCCTCTCCTGTGATATGGCTTGCAGGCCCTTCCCTACCCATTTCTCCCTGGATGGATGTCTGTTCCAATGAAGCATGACCAAAGAGGATTAGTGTCCGCTTTCAGACATAATGTGCAGCAGGAGGCCTGTCCCGGGGCTGGGCATGGTGCCCCCTCCCTGGGGACCCTTGGCACCTGCAGACTCACTGAGGCTGACCTCCTGATTTGTGTCCACTGCGTGCTCACAGTGGGCTCATGTTGATCCCGTGCCTACTGCTTCCAAGCACACGTGCCTATGTCTGCATGACTGTCCCTGGACTGTCACTGTTCACTGGTTAGGCCCTGGAGGCATCGTACTGTATCTGACATGTAGGGGTTACCTTGGCAGTTGAATCCAACACTGTCTCAATTTTCCAAGTCCAAACTTTTGTGATGGGAAAGGGCTCTCCCTGGGTCAGAAGCAGGCTAGAGTGGAGGCTGCCGATGCCCAAGGCTAGAAGCTGTGATCCACGGACGGAAAGCTGAGTCCACAGACATCTCCAGAAGGCAGAAGATTTAAGCTTCTTAATGTAGGAAATGACACAACAGCTTAATCTCCCCAGTGCCATCAAGAGCAGCTTTCAGGGCACTCAGGAAATTACAACAACAATTCCATTTATGGTGATATTAAGAGTGTAAGATACTTAGAAATTAACTTAACCAGGGAGATAAAAGATTTGTACAGTGGAAACTACAAAACACTGCTGAAAGAAATTAATGACCTAAATAAATGGAAAGATATTCCATGTTCATGGACTGGAAGACTCAATAGTGTTAAAATGTCAATACTACCCAAAGCAATCTCAGACTTCATGGAATCCCTGTCAAAATCCTAGTGATTTATTCTTTTGCAGAAATAGAAAAACCAGTCCTAAAATTCATATGGACTTTTAAGGGACCCCAAATAGTCAAAACAATCTTGAACAAAACTAGAGGACTCATACTTTCAGATTTCAAAAATAACTACAAAGTCCAGTAATCAAGACAGTGTGGTATTGGCATAAAGACAGATAGACCAGTGGAATAGAGTAGAGAATCCAGAAATGACATTTACATATATGGTTAAATGATTTCCAAAAAGGGCGCAATAACCAGTCAGTGGAGAAAGGACAGTCTTTTCAACAAATGGTGCTGAGAAATAGAATATCCACGTGAAAAGAATGACGTTAGACCTTCACCTGGCACTGTATAAAAAAACTAACTCAAAGGTGATCAAAGACCAGAATGTAAGACCTAAAGCAATAGAATTCTTAGACGAAAACCACAGAAAAGCATCATGACATTGGATTTGGCAGTGATTTCTTGGATGTGACACCAAAGGCGCAGGAAACAACATAAAAAAATACATTTTGGGCTTTATAAAATCAAACAGTTTTGGGGCACCTGAGTGGATCAGTTGGTTGAGTGTCAGACTTTGGCTCAGGTCATGATCTTGCAGTTCGTGGGTTTGAGTCCCACATTGGGCTCACTGCTGTCAGCCTGTCAGTGCAGAGTCTGCTTTGGATCCTCTGTCCCTCTCTCTCTGCCCCTCCCCTACTTGCGCTCTCTCCCCAGCCCCCCCAAAATCAAAAAGTTTTATACTAGTAAAGACTACCCACAGAGTAAAAGGCAACCTACAGAACGGGAGAAAGTATTCGCAAATCATGTATCTGCTAAGGGACTAATATTGAAGATATAAAGAGAACTTCTGAAACTCAACAACAGAAAACCAAACAACCCAACTAAAAAATGAGCCACCTGGGTGGCTCAGTCAGTTGAGTGTCTGACTGAGTTGCAGTCACGACCTCGCAGTTAGTGGGACTGAGCCCCACATTGGCTCTGCGTTGACAGTACAGAGCCTGCTTAGAATTTTCTTTCGCCCTCTCTGCCCCTCCCCTGCTTGCATGTGTGCACACTCTCTTTCTCTCTCTCTCAAAATAAATAAACATTTTTTAAAAATGAGCAAAAGACTAGAAAAAAACTTTTTCCAGGGCAGACATACGAGTGGCTAATAAGCACAAGAAGATGCTCTACCTCAGTAATCATCAAGGAAATGCAAATCAGACTACAGTGAGATTTCACCTCACGTCCATTAGGATGGCTGCGCTCTGAAAAATAGCAAGTGTTGGCGAGGATGTGGCGAGGTGGGGCCTTAGCACTCTATTGGTGGCAGGTGCAAATCAGTGCAGTAACTATGGAAAACAGTATGGAGGTTTCTTTCTTTGTTTTTAAAATTTTTTAATGTTTTTATTTATTTCTGAGAGAGACAGACAGCGTGAGCAGGGGAGGGTCAGAGAGAGGGAGATACAGAATCTGAAACAGGCTCCAGGCTCTGAGCTGGCAGCACAGAGCCCGACGCGGGGCTCGAACTCACGAACTGTGAGATCATGACCTGAGCCAAAGTTGGACGCTTAACCAACTGAGCCACCCAGGCGCCCCAGTATGGAGGTTTCTGAAAATAAAAGACAAGGGGGCATGGGTGGCTCAGTCAGTTAAGCATCTGACTTTGGCTGAGGTCATGATCTCATGGCTTGTGAGTTCGAGCCCCGCATCAGGCCTGTGCTGACAGCTCAGAGCCTGGAGCCTGCTTCTCTCTCTCTCTCTCTCTCTCTCTCTCTCTCTCTCTGCTCCTTCCCTGCTTGTGCTCTCTCTCTCAAAAATAAATAAACATAAAAACATTTTTTAAAAGTAAAAATAGAATCACCATATGATCTACACTCCCACTTCTGGGTATGTCCCCAAAAGACTTGAACACAGGGTCTTGAGATGTCTACATTCTTACTCATAGCCGCGTTATTCACAAGAGCTCAAATGTGGAATCAACCCAAGTGTCCACTGATGGACGATTGGGTTCACAAAATGTGATGTATAAATTGCAATATAATGATTCATCAGAAATGTATTTGGTCGTTCAGATGAACTCTTCAGAGAGCTTCTGGGCTGGTGAAGGTGTGGAGATTTGGGGAGAGTGGTGCCCCTGGAGAGGACGTGGAAGCTTCGCACCCCCCACCCAACTTTGCTGAGATGCCACTACCCATTTAAAGTGCCCAGTTCTATGGTTTTTAGTATATTGTTGTGCAGCCATCACCATGGTCTAATTTTAGAACATTTTCATCATCCACAAAAGAAACCTCGTGCCTATTGGTGATCACTCGTCATTTGCTCCCAACCTCCCCCTCCTCCCGCCCTAGGCAACCACTGACCTGCTTTCTGTCTCTATGGACACTTCCCACAAGTGGAGTCACATAGCACGTGGTCTTTCATGCCTGCTGCCCTCCCTTGCGGAGCGTTCCCAGGGCTCTCCCGCTCCTTTCTGAGGTTGGGTCATAATATTGCATTGCATGCATATATCACTTTCGTTTGTTCTTCATTCGATGGACACTTGGGTTGTGAACATCTTTCCGGCGGGTATGAATAATGCTGCTGTGAATATTTATATACAAGTTTCTGTGTCTGTGTGGACATTTGTTTTCATTCCTCTTGGAAATCCCGGCAGTGGAATTGTGGGATCAGATGGTAGCTCTGTGTTTAATTATCTGAGGAGCAGCCATGCTGTTTTCTACCCTCACCAGCACGTGTTGGTATGGGACCTTTGATTCTAGCCATCCTGGTGGGTGTCACACGGGATCTCGTGGTTTTGATTTGCATTTTCCTAGTGACTAACAATGTTGAACATCTTTTCATGTGCTTCTCGACCATTTATATGTCTTTGGAGAGATGTTTATTCAGGTCCTTTGCCTATTTTTAAATTTGGTTGTTTGTCTTTTTGTTATTGAGTTGTAGATTTCTTTATATACACGCGATACTGGGAGCCTGTCAGGTGTATAATCTGCAAGCTTTTCTCCCATCCTGTGTATTGTCTTCACTTGCCTGATATTTTCCTATTCAATTTAAAATCAAAAGATTTTAAATTGGATGAAGTCCAGTGTATTTGTGTGTGTGTGTGTGTGTGTGTGTGTGTGTGTGTGTCTGTGTGTGTGTGTGTTGCTTATACTTTAGTTGTCATACCCAAGAAACCATCGTCTGACCTAAGGTCACAAAAACCTGCTCTTTTGGGGATGTGATTTGGGTGGATTTTTTAAAAAATATTTTTATTTATTTCTAGGAGAGAGAGAGATAGCGTGAGCAGGGGAGGGTCAGAGAGAGAGGGAGTCACAGAATCCGAAACAGGCTCCAGGCTCTGAGCTGGCAGTCAGCACAGAGCCCGACGCGGGGCTCGAACCCACGAACCGCGAGATCATGACCTAAGCGAAGGTGGGACGCTTAACCGACTGAGCCACCGAGGCGTCCCTTGGGTGGATTTTGATGGGTGGGAGGAGGGAAAGATCTGGGCCTGGTCTGGGTGGAGTCGGGGCGGCTGGGGAGGCCATGGCACTTGGCCTGCTGACTTGTGGGCTGCCGGGCAGGGCAAAGATGAGGCGAGGGGTATGTTAGGAGTCGTTTGAGAGGAAAAAATGCAGGAGCCAAGAATGAGGAAATGGGAGCCGGGATTAAAACCGTGGCGGGGCAGGGATGGCCAGGTGCGGTGCGGGATGACTTGGCGGCCGGCAGAAAACTCCAGCTCCCAGGAAGGACATGGCCTGGGGCTCGGGAGGGGACGGGCTAGGCTTCCTGCTTTGCTGGAACCGTGCGCTGGTTGAGTCTCCTCCGTATAGTAGGAGGGGTCAGGCTCTCCCTCGGCTGGGACCCCAGAACGCCGCAGGCATGTTGAAGAGTGATAGCCCCCCCTCTGCGGCTCGCCCCTCCCTCCCTGAGCCGCTGCAGGTGATTGGAGGTCACATTTCACCGAAGGTCCTGGGGATCTTGGGGACAGGGCCCCGCACGGTCTTGGGGTGACAGCACGAGCTTGTACATCAGAGCCCTTGCCGTCTGCACAGGGGCGTTCCTTCCCGAGAAGCAGATCGCTCGGGGTGGCATCTGTCTCCTGCACTGGGCCAGGCAGGGACATCCTGGTTAATATTTGGCCCAGACGGCTGGCCGTGAGGCCTCTGCAAGGCTGTCACATTCCTGACCCTGAGCCATAGCTCACTTAAGGGCCAAGGCTGGGTGAGGCGTCTGGTCTGTGTAGCTAAAAATGTTCCTTATATCAGGTGACCTCACGTCTGAGAGGTGACCTCACGTCTGCACATGCACCTGTGCACTCAGGGCCCTGGGGGTGAGGTGGCCTCGGGTCCTGAGACGGTCTGCCCCACAGGAAGTGCTGCTGTGTGCAGTCCCGCCCCTCCTCTCCCAGCCACCAGTGGGGGGAGGGGCCAGCTTCTAGCCAGGTGGCTGTCAGGGGGCCTGGAGCTGTTAAGGCAGGACCAGCACCCTAACCCCGGGAGTGTCCTGGCCCTGAGCAGCTGGGGACACAGGTGGGCCTTTGCAGGCGGCCGTCCCTCCAGCTCCTGCTGCCTGCAGGAACCACTTGAGAAGGTTCCTGCCTGGCCCCCCGCCTGACCCCGCCGCCCAGCCCGGAGCCATCTCTGTGGCTCGTTAGGGTTTCCTTGTGTTTCGAGGGGTATCTCTGGGGCAGACTGTGCCTTGAGCTCTTAGTTCCGTAAAATGGAACGAGCCTCTTATCCTGAGCCCCCCCACCCCCCACCGTTGCTTCCTTCCTGTCTTCATGGCAGAGATCCCAGTTGCTTTTGGAGCTTCTCCTTGAAGTGCTTGCTTTGTGGGTGTGGGTTTTCCTTTGGAAAGTGTAGTTGTTGTGGGTGTGGGGGCTGTGAGCAGCCCCTCTGCGGCGCAGGGTGCAGTTCACAGCGTCTGCCAGGTGCCTGCGGCCTCCTGCCGGCCCAGCCCAGGCCCGCAGGAGACCGGTCACGCGCCGTCAGCTCTGTCCCCTGTTCGCACCACTTCCCTCACTCGGCTTGTCGCTGTGGTGTGTCCCCCACCTCCATGGTCCGTCCCCCTAATTCTAGGGGTGTCGTTAGCCCAAGTCCCTGCCCAGCAGCCCCGCTGAGGCCCTGAGCCATGACGCAAAGTCACCCACAGGCTGATCCCCAGCTGGCGCTACAGACCAGGGCAGTTCAGATGGCACAGGATTGGGAAGTGGAGGGTTTTGATTACCGCAGGAGACAGATCCTCCTGGGAAACGTCACGGCAGCCGGCACTGCCCCTCCTGCTCCTTAGCCACACTGCCCAGGGTGGACTAGGTCACGTGGCCGCAGGGACCAGTTGGGGAAGGTGGCCGGTGGTAGAATGCAGACCCAAACTTCCAATCTCGGGTCTTTCCCATGAGGCTGCAAGGGTGAGCCCATCTCTACCCTGAGCATGACTGCAGGCCTGGGCAGAAGGCACAGAGCCGCTGTGGGGACGCCAAGACGTCAGCCGGCATGGGCAGGTCGGGGGAAGGAAACCACAACTTGACGTACGGATGATTGACAGGAGTTCTGTTTTCCCGCCCACCTCTGCCAGCCCGGACTCAGCACAGCGTGGGGCTCAGCACCTGGCCCTGGGCACGGCGGGAAGAGCTCCAGGAGGAGCCTCCTCCACTGGTCCTGGCTCGGGACAGGCCCTCCAGGGCAGAGTGAGGAGACACCCCAGGTGGTTGGTGTCCGTGTTTGGCCTTGCTCTTATGTCCTGTCCCCAGGCAAGTCCCAGTCCGGAAGGGCCATCGTCAGAGCTGGGGCCATGTGAGCGGTGGCTGGACAGGCACCTGCCCCTGAGAGTGAAGGGGAATCCTGAGGTTCTTTCCCTCCCCCCTCCCACCATGTGGACCTGAAGCCTGCGACACTAAAGCCCTGGCTTTGCAGCCAGAGGACCTGGGAAAGGAGTGTCCCCGAGGCACAGAGTCAGGGAGGTGGACAGGGATCCTGTAAAGTTGCATGTGACTCCTGGGTTCATGCCAAGCTATGCAGGCATGGACTTGGCCCCAACCTACATACCCAAGGTGCTGAAGACTGAACACTGGGGAGGACCACCACCCACGTCCCAGCCTGGCCCCGAGTGCTGCCTGCACCGTATGGACCCGGGTGGCTCTGCAGAGGCCTTGGAAACTGAGCTAAATTGATCTGCAGCCCACGTCAGCTGCTGTTAGAACACAAAACCCAACATTCACCATAGGGCTTAATAGGGCATACAGTCTCATTATATGTTAAAAATGTCCATGATACAAGTCCAAATTACTCAACATATGAAGAATCGGGAAGATCTCAGCAGCTGTCAAAGGACACGGGCACCAGCAGACAACGGGGATGGTGAACCGGGTGACAGAAGCTCTGTGGTCACTGGAAACCTCTAGAGAGCAAGAGTGGACCCTCTGGAGGTGAGCGGAAAACAGAACATCTCAGTAAGGATGTGGAAGCTATAAAAAAGAACCAAATAGAAAATTTTAAGTTAATAAATACAGAAAGCCAAATAAAAATGTACTTTGTGAGTTCAGTAGCAGAATGAAGATAACAGGGGAAAGAGTCTGTGAACCTGAAGACAGACTGACTCAAATCATACCTTCTCAACAACAGAGCAAAACTGGGGGTAAAAATAGACGCAGGGACAGTAGCAAAAGATGTAACATTGATGTCGTCTGAGTCTAGAAGAGAGGAGTATGGAGCAGACAAAAATAGTTGAAGAAATAATGGCTGAAAACTTTCCAAATTTCATGTTCGATAAACTCAGATTTTAGATGTTCTGCAAATCCCAAACATGTATCACAATCTGCTAAAAATCAAAGTTAAATGTTGAAAGCAGCCAGAAAAAGATCTGTTATATATAATAAATCTGGATTTTCAAAATGCAGAATTAGTTATCAGCTAACTCAGAACAAACATTTTGAAATACTATGTGAGCCAACACTACAGGCCAAGTAAGATGTGTCTGTGGGCTGTTTGGACGTGGCGTGCCTGCCCACAGACAAGCTGGATGGAGCTCGGCCTCAGGCCGTTTCCCAGCGACCATCCCGAGAAACCTCGGGCAGCCGTGAGCGGAAAGGTCAGGAGAGCTCTGCCTGTCAGCTCTGCACGGCCAGTGTGGCCGGGCAGTGGCGGGAGGGGGCCGGGAGCAGTGTTTGAGGCCCGCTGCACCCACGCCTTGGGAGCGCGGGAGATGGGGCTCCTCACTGCTTCTGTCCGCGAGAGTCAGCCTGGGGCTCAGAGGCTGTCCAAGCGCCAGGGCTCCGGGGTGGAGGTGTGGCTGCTTCCAGGAGCTCGGCGCCTGCCTTGCCCTCGACACAAGTTCCCCTGGGCCTGGTGTTCGCGCTCAGAGTGCATCCTGTCTGCTTGGGGATCTTCACCCTCCTTCCTGCTGCCTCGTGGCACCACCCCCAGACTCCGCGGTCTGGTTTCATTAGCTGCAAAAGGCTCAGCCTGCTGGCAGAAATGGCCTGATTGAAACATCGTGTACACAGGAAAACAGGGCGCGCGGGCTCACTGCTCGGCAAGCCAGGGCTCCATGGTGCGCGTGTGGAATGTGGGCCGAGAGTGACAGCTGTTCCCACTTTGCTCACCAAGGATGCCTGTCCCCCTACAGACTGATCTGAGGTGTTTGAAGGGGGGTTGGCGTCCATGACCAGAAATGGAATCGCCCTCCAGGGATCTTCCATGTGAGGGGGTCTGGCCAGGCAGGGATTTCCGAGAGTAGCCGGCTTCTCGCTGCTTCAGCTGGCAGCCCCTGGTTTGTCCCCTGGGTGCAGACTGGGGGCTCCACGGCCGGGATGGGAAAGCTTAGGGTGGGGGCCGCCTCTCCTGGCGAGGCTCCGGTGGCTGAGTGCGGCTGTCCTGAAGTCCTGAGGCCGTGGCTGCGGCCCCTGCCCGGTCGGCCCCCCGGGATGCTGCGTGGGGAGGGGGTGACCCTGTCCTGAGGCCGCAGCGAGTCTCCTGAGGGGCACACAGCAGACGTGCCTGCTGCTGGGAGGGACGGAGCACCGTGAGGCTGCGTGCCCGCCCCGTGCCCACCTTTGCCTGCCCCGGGCAGCTGAGTGAAGGCCTTCCTGTCCCCGTGGCTGTGCGAGCAGTGGCCTCGCGGTGAGGATGGGAGGGATGAGAGGGACGGGTTGTGACCTGGGTGTCCCCTGACCTCCCTGCCCGCTGCGCCCCCAACCCCGTTTTGCTTCCCGGCCGCCTGGTTTGCGCCCTAACCCCTGGCCCGTGTCTCCACAGCATCAAGATGGTGCTCATGTGGACGAGCGGGGACGCCTTCAAGACGGCCTACTTCCTGCTGAACGGCGCGCCCCTGCAGTTCTCCGTGTGCGGCCTGCTGCAGGTGCTGGTGGACCTGGCCATCCTGGGGCAGGCCTACGCGTTCGCCCGCCACCCCCCGAAGCCGGCCCCCCACGCGGCGCACCCCGCCAGTGCCAAGGCCCTCTGAGGCCGCCGGGGCGGACGGGGACGCGTGGCCTCCAGCCGTAGGCACCGCCGCCTCCCGGCCTCCCTGTCTGGGGCGGGCAGGCACCGGGGCCCAAGAGGGTGTCTCGGCCGCTGGGATCTCTGTCAGCCCCTGTGGGTCTTGGGGGAAGGGCGGGGGGCGGGGGGCCAGCCCCGGGACGGGCATGAGTGGGCTTTGCCGCTAGGGGCTGGGCTGTGGCTGTTCTCAAGGCGGCAGAAAAGCAAGTGTTCTCTTCCTTCCTCTCGCACAACACCGGTCTGCGGCCTGAACGTGCTCACAGCGCCAGGAAGGGCAGACGGGGCCGCGACGGGACAGGAAGCCCCTGCGGGTCTGGGCCCGCAGGAGTCGCGGATGCGCCTGCAGCCGGCCCGGGAGGCCCTTGGGAGGGGTGGGGCGGGGCAGCAAGAATGAGAAGTGGCACCAGGAGAGCCCAGGGCCCGGCGCACAGAGCCTGGTCTCCGAAGGGCCCGGGTGCAGAGAGTGCGCCTGATACGTGTGGGAAGGAAGCCACGGGGACGCACGTCACAAGCGTTCTTGATTATCTGGCCAGAGGTGGCCTTTTCAGGGCCACCCTCAGTGCCGCTGCCTCATGGGACTTAGGACTCGGCCTTCTGCTCGGCAGTGAGGCCCAGAGCTGTGCCCCGGGCCCCCTGAGCCTCACTGCTATGCTGGCCTCCTCCTAGAAGGCACCTGTGTGGACCCTGCCGGGGCTCAGGGGCGTGGGGTGGGGTGCAGGCGGCCTGCGTGCGCTCCCGGGAAAGCCAAGAGCCCACGACCAGGTCCCCCAAGGAGAGCTGCCTTGCGGGGCGTCTCCCCTGTATTCAGGGGACACAGCCCTTCATCTTCCAGGACAGGGAGACAGTCCCTGGGTCAGGAGTGGGGACATGTGCGGCGGGTGCCCCTGCTGCTGTCCAGTCCCACACCCCACAGTCTGAGCTCTCAGGCCTGGAGTGACCTTCCGGGTGGGGGGCCGGGCCAGGCACGCGGTCCGTGGTCCCCACCCACCACCCTCCTGGTCTCCCCGTCCCCTGCACCTGGCTGTGGGCGGGGGGGCGCTGGGCTGACTCTCGTTGCCCTGTATTTTCCCCCCTCCACTTTCACATGAGCATCTCAGCCGTGCCCAGCAGCCCTGGGCAGGCTCCCAGGCCCCCAGAGTCTGAGTGTTCTGGATGCTTCCACGTGGCTTCCCTTCTGCTGGGTGGAGGGGCAGCTCTGTGCAGTGCTGGCCCGGGCGGTGCCAGAGCTCTAGTGGTGTCTGCCGTTCACAGCCGCTCCCTCCCCCTGAGTTTTCCTCAGAATCTCCTGTTTGAGTGAGGGTCCTGCCTAGTTACTGCGCTGTAAGAGGACTTGAAAATGTGTATTTTATAAAAATGAAGGGAGATGTCTGTAGCAGTAATTGCCTCCAAATTAAGACGTCACCGATGGCAGTGGTGACCGACTGCGCCCAGCTGGGGGAGCGCTCAGTCCTGTCCGTGTGGTGACTGTCCATCAATAAACCGCTCGCAGATCCGGTGTGGCCTCGTGAATGGAGTCGGGAGTGAGGGCCCAGGACCGAGTGAAGAGGTGGTCCCCCCCACTTCGCCTCGGGGTCTCCGGGGCAGAGTGGATGCCCCTTCCTTGGGGCACAGCTCTCCCTGTGAGACCCGGGCTGCTGGCTCAGGCGCCCCCTCCCCAGGCAGGCCAGCCCAGACCAGGGACCTGACCACAGAACGCTTCCAAAGGGTGGGAAGTGTCTTGTTTTAAGCCAACAGCTGTGTTTCAAGAATAAGCAACAGTTCTGTGTGGCAAGTAGGGATGGAGCTGTTTGTACTGAGCAATTTTCTTTCTTTTCTTGGAGGCAATTTACATTTAGGGGCAAGATATTAAAAAAATATCAAGATACACCAGTGAAAATACATGGAAGTGATATTTTAAGTTTTTGGATGAGTAACCCCCCCCCCCCCCCCCCGACCTGGACTGCATGCGTCTGTCTGGAGCTGATCTGAGGGGGTGACATCCGTGTGGCCCTTGCTCAGGCAGCAGGCATCCTCCCAGCATGGACCCTGGGGTCCACTTACTGACTCAGGACAGAAGTCCTGCTTGGCAGTGGATTTTTATTTTCCTTCTGATAATGTGTTAATTCAAATTAACTTTTAATTAAATTAATGCATGCAGTAAAAATTTCAACAGTAAAATATACAAAGGTGTCTTTTTTTGTGAACCCATCTCTATTCCTCAAGACTCACCTGTGGCCTCTCTCTGTGGCTCCACTATGGAGCTGGGAAGTGAGTGCCGTGTGCCCTTGAGGAGGCTGCGGACACACCTCTCAGAGGGCAGAGAGCCTGGCCTGGCCTGGCGGGGACAGCCACGAGCCCTAGGCTCGGACACAGCTGACTGTTGGGGGAGGGCACAAGTTTTAATGGCCCCACAAGAAGCAGGCCTCTGATTAAAAACAGATGAAGGTCCCTCTCCACTGTCCGCAGCCCCGATCTCCTGTTTGTTTTCCCTGATGGGACAGCATTTGGAAAGGGGAGCAGTGTGCTGACTCTGCTGTGGCTTCTGGGGCGAGTGCCACCTCCTGGGGCGAGTGCCACGGTGCATCCCATTCAGCTCGGCCTCTGAGAACTCACAGATGGAGGCTTGTGAATGGTGCCGTGGCCCTGCCCACGGCTCTGGGGCTGCTTTTGCTGTCCTGGTCTCCAGCTGGCCAGGGACTGGAGAGAGAGAGAGAGAGAGAGAGAGAGAGAGAGTGTGTGTGTGTGTGTGTGTGGTGTGTTTTCCCCAAAAGTAAGGAGTGTAGGAATTTTTTTGGCAGCAAGTATGGGGGAGGGTTTCAGACTCCCGACACTGATGATGGAGGTTTTGGTCCTGGTGCCACCGCATTCAGTCCACGTGGCTCTCTAGATCGCCCAGAAGCACAGTTCAGCCAGGGTGGCGGGGGGTAGTGGGCAGGCAGCATGGAGGTGGGGGGATTGGAGGGGTGGGGATGGGGTGGGGAGCAGGTAGAGGGGATGGGGGAGCGGGGATGGGGCATCAGGTGGGCAGGGTAGGGGGTGGGCGGGCGGGATGGGTGTAGGTGGGGGGCCGGGGTGGTGCTCAGGGACTAGAGGGAAGGAGCTCACAAAGCGGCCCTGAGGGCGAGGAGAGGGTTCCAGAGGTTCCTGGAATCAGGGCAGCTTCTGGTGAGCCAGAGGCCTGCTGACTGGGACAGTTCACTGACCAGCGGTCATAACCTGGTGGCAGAGCCTGCTTCCCGAGTCAGTGATACTCCGGGAAGTGAGCAGAGCTCTCCGCGTAATTCTGGAGGTTGTAATGGCCACATTTCCAAACTCTGCGCCCCCCCGCCCCCCGCCCGCATTGCCTTTGTGCATTTTGAACAGATTGGCAGTGTCAGCCTCTTACGTAGGGTCACACGGTTCTGTCCCCCAGCAGCTGTTTCGGCACAGACTCTGTCAGAGTGTGTGAGGGGCAGTTGGTGGGGACCTGGCGAGTTCCTGGTCCCTGACCCAGATGGGGAAGGTGAGGCCACAGCCAGCGGAGGCCAGCGGGAGCCCAGCCAGAGGAGCTCGGACTGTGTGGAAGGGACGGCCGTGGGGTTGGGGGCGGGGAAAGCAAAGCCGGGGCTCGGTGGGAAATGTGCACCCCACTTCTCAGGATGGCTGACAGGTGCCCCTCCTTCCTGGGACCTGTGGTGCTCTAGGGGCTCTCCTAGTCTTGTGGGGGGGGGGGCTCCTGGGCACCCACAGAACCGCCGCAGCCCGGGGCGATAGGGTGGGTACGGGACAGATCCCTCAGCTCATCCACCACCACTGACCTGGTCCTTGGGCGGACAACGTGGGTTATTTCTGCAGGTCGTCCTGGTGACAGTCTGCAAGCCCACTGCACAGGAAAACGCAGCTCGCCCCCAGGGCTCATCAGCCACGCTGGACAAGCAGCAGAGGGGTGGCAGGCACCCCGCGTGTGGCCTCTGTGCGTGGGGCCCCCACGGGCACCGGCAGCCAGCTGTCACCTGGGCCTCAAGCTTGCAGCTCCCTCCTGAGCAAGACCCAGCGCTGTCACTGGGAGAGCGCTGTCACCCTTGGTGTGTTTGTGGGTCCTTGGGCCCCATCCTGTGGGGGTCCAGCTGACCTGCCCACCGGGAAGAAGCAGGGCTAAGCCTCTGGGTCCAGTTTGCCTAGAGCCTGCACTCAGGTGGGCTCCCTCGGGCCCCAGTTCCCTGCCCTTTCTCCTGGAAGACCCCTCCTGGCCTCTGCTTGAGGAATGTGGACCCAGGAAGCAAGGAGCAGGCAGCCTGCCCCAGGGAGTATGGGGTCAGGGCAGAGCCCAGTTTCCTACCTGCCAGGAGCCTGCCCCAGGGAGGGGCTTGGGCCCCAGGGAGGGGCTTGGGCCGAGTGGGCAGGTGTCAGGCCAGGTGCAGTGGCCTGGTCAGCTGTGGACAGAGCATGTCCCCATCTGATATGAGGGGACCTTTTCTGCCTCAGAGAGCTGATGTGAGCATCCACGCAAGAACACAGTGGGAGACAGCCTTCATCTGCGTGTAGTTTTGGGACCCTCGGCTCATTCTGATCCCAGGACGTTTTGTGGTTGCTGGTGAGACCGTTATTGCAGCCCCTCTACCCCCCGCTGCCCTTGTTCCCTTGACACTGACCTGTGGACTCCAGCGGTGGCGCCCAGGCATTTGTGCGCGTGTGAAGGGGAGGCTGGGAGTGAGGAGGAAGCAGGTGCAGGGAAAACTGGGCTGTGCGGGCAGTCCTGCCTGCCCAGGGCTGGGGCTTGCTGTGCAAACCCTGCCCCGTCCAGCCCCGGGTTCTAGTCCAGCCTGGTCCCCTGAGAACGCCAGTCCCCACAGTGTGGTTGCAGATTTAGGGACGGGGTCTCTGCTGTGGGATTCATAGGTACAAGCGGGCCTTGCATGCAAGGGCTTTGTCCAGGCAGAGGCGCCCGCCATCCGTCCCTGTGATGCAGGAAACCCCTTCCTGGCCTGGGCACCTGGTGCCTGGGGCAGCTGTCGGTGCTGCCCAGAGGAACTCAGCAGAGGGCCATGCAGGAGAGGTGGCACTTTTTATTGGTTGCAGTAGCATCTTAGGAAATGTCCCCAGAGCAAGGGCCCCACCTCAGCCCCACCCCAGCCTCTCCTGGCTCTGGCTCCGCACCAGGGCCCCTGCTGAAGAGTGGGAAGAGTGGGTGAGGCTGCCAGCAGGGCCCTGGGGGGCGTGCTGCGGGTGATTCTCATGAGGGGCCTGGGGCCACAATGTCTCCGGTGTCATGGCCTGACTCATTAAAATGAAAAAGTACAAAGTAACCTGATTTGGAAAGTTCCATTCCTTCATGCCCAGAGCAGAAACAGGCTCTTGCTTCGGTGAGGACAGGCTTCCAGCAGCTGCGCACCCAGGCCCCCTCCCCCATCGTCCCTTGGAGAACAAAGCAAGAATGTTCCTGAGGCATCTCGGAGGGTAAGGATGTCCAAGGCCAGCAGAAAGGGCGAAGCATGCAGACCTTGAGCTTTACAGAGGCATCTTCAGGGGAGAACCTGTGGGGAGGGGGCCAGGAAGACGCCCACGGAGCTGGTGGCGCCAGGGAAGGAGGTCGGAGGGCACGGCTGGGACACTGCCGTGGGTGGCGTGTGGATGTCACACCTCTGCGCCTGTCCCTCGTCGGGGATGTGGGCTTCAGCAGAGGGGCTCCTTCACGGGGGGACGGGCCCACTGTGGGGACCCGGCCGGAGCAGGAAGGGTCTGTCCCCCGAGTGCTCCCCCTTGGGCCCCCTCCTCCTCCGGGAACACCCCCCCACCCCCACCCCTGCCGCAAAGCCTGGGGCGTGTGCCGCGGGCCAGGGAGTCCGAGGTCCAAAGCGAAGGAGGGAAGCGGACGCGAAACCTGGCTGGAAGCGCTTTCCAGCCGCGCCTCCCAGGGCGGACTCGGAGGTGCGGCCGCGCTCAGGGCCGAGTGACGCGCAGTGGACGCTCTGCTGGGCTGGGACCGGGCCCCCAGGGCGCGCGGCGGGAGGTGGGGGCCGCGGTTCTAGTTTTGAAGCAGCTTTCCGGGAGCGGCCCCTTGGGCGCAGGGCGCGGGGACTGCGGCCTGGCCGGCACCCACGGGCGCCTGCGAGCGGCCGTCGGGGGCGCGGGGGCTGGCGGCGCGCTGCTGCTGCGCCTTGAGCTCCGAGTAGGAGCGCGCGAAGGTGTGGAAGATGGACGTGACCGGGAAGGCCAGGAGCAGGATGCCGCTGAGGATGCTGCTGAGCGCCACCACCCGGCCGGGCAGGCTGCGCGGCACCATGTCGCCGTAGCCCACGGTGGTCATGGAGATGACGGCCCACCAGTAGCTGGCCGGCACGCTGGAGAAGTCGCGGCGCGCGCCCAGCTCGCGCTCGGCCAGGTGCACGAGCGGCGCGAACAGGGCCGCGGCCACGCACAGGAAGAGCAGCAGCAGCCCGAGCTCGCGCGCGCAGCGACGCGCCGTCAGGCCGAGCGAGCGCAGCCCCAGCGAGTGGCGCGCCAGGCGCATCACGTAGAGGACGCGCAGCGCGCGCAGCAGGCGCAGCGCCAGCCCCGCGCGCTCCAGCAGCGCCGCGCCCGCGCCCGCGCGCCCCGCGCCCCCCGCGCCCCCCGCGCCCCCCGCGCCGCGCGCCGCCAGCCCCGCCAGCAGCGACACGTAGAAGGGCAGGATGGCCAGCATGTCGATGATGTTGAGCGGGGCCCGCAGGAAGGCGCACTTGCTCTCGGCCCGCAGCGACCGCAGCAGGAACTCGAAGGAGAACCAGGCCACGCACACCGTCTCCAGCACGAAGAGGCTGCGGCACTTGCGGGAGCACTCACCCTGCGGAGGAGAGGGGGCGGGGGTCACGCCCGGGCCCACCTGCCCGACCTGCCCGGGCCGCGTCGCAGGGCCGGGGGGGGGGGAGGGGCTCAGCCGACCCCTCCCCAGCGCGCTGCTGAACGTCGTTAAAAGCTCTGCAAACGCGCCACAGGGCAAACAGCAAAGGAAACAACTGTTCAAGACAATCTAGATAAATTCGTTTAAAAAGGGGAGAGAAATACCTCCTCCTCTCCCCCCGCTCAGCGAGGAGACTCCGCTCCCGAGCAGCACGGGCTCCCCAGGCTCCGGGGCTTGGGAAGAGGGGCGCCTTCTCCCCGGGCCTGTGGGGCGGTTCGGGGGCAGGAGAGGCACCCCAGCCGGCTGCTCGGCGCCCACCCTCAGTGCCGAGAACGGGAATCGCCAGAGAAGCCGGCACCGTCCCCTTTCCCTACCCCAGAGCCCCCGCGCAGAGCAGTCTCCCATACAGTTCATTTCTTGCACAGACTTCGTGTGTAATGTGGTCGCGGTCGGGAGAAGTTCCACGCTAAGGGGTTCTCCAGATCCGTGCAGTCGTAGTGAAGGAAAATGGGAGGGCATTCAGATTGAGGGCGTCCCCAAGCTGTGCCTCCCAGAGGGGCAGCGTCAGGGGTAAGCACTGTGCGGGTATGTGCATGCATGGATGTGTGTGTGCCTATGTGTGTGGAGGGGCTAGAATGTACTGCACCAAAATAATCCCACCAATCACTAAACAAACAGACAAGTAACAGTAGCAAGCCCTGAAAAAACGGGGGAGGGAGCATTACCCACGGTTGCTACAATGTGCTAAGTAAAATGTCCAGTTTCCAATTAAAAAAAAAATCACATGTCAGGCAAAGAAACAGTGAAGTATGATCCATACATCAGAAAACAAATCAGGCAACAGAAGGTCTGAGAGCACCAGATGAGAGTTTACAGAAGAGCCGTCACCAATGTGCTCATAGAACCGGAGGCAGACGCAAGTGGGAAGCGTGATGACAATCCATTGCATCGAATGGAGACCATCAACAAGGAGAAGCTTTTAACCATGTGGAGATTTTGTAGTAGAAAAGCACACGTGGATTCACTGGAAGAGCTCCGCAGTAGATGCGAACTGTCAGAAGAAAGAATTGGTGAACTAGAAGACAGATTATGCCGAGGAGAGAGAAGGGGAACCAAGGAGTGTCTCAAAAATGTGGGGTGTGTTTGCGAAACGCCAGTGCTGGAAGGAGCGGGGAGAGGAAGGAGACACACATTTGAAGAAATAATGGTTGAAAACTCACCGAATCTACTGCACATCCAGGGAGCTCCATGAGCTGCAGGCAGGCTAACGCGGAGCCCTCTGCGCATCATGGTGAGAGTGCTGAACGCCCAGGCTCCCCGGGATTGCGGCGAGGATGCTGAGTGCCCGGGGCAGGGAGGACCAGGGTGTTCGTGAAGTGACTCTGATGAGGCTAACCTCTCAGCAGGAGCAGCGGAGGCCAGAATGCCGTGGGGAAATGTGTTCAAAGTGCTCAGGAAAGACGGCTCCCGAGAATCGTGTACCTGTCAAAGCCGTCATTCAAGAGTGAGGGTGAAATACAGACTTTCCCAGAGAAGCAAAAACTGAAAGAATCTGTTTCTAGCGCAGCTGCCCTGCCACAAATTCAAAAGGAAGCTCTTTAGGCTGAATTTCCCAGAATCTTCATGACCTTGGATTTGGCAAAACATTCGTAGAGATGACACCAAACACACGAGCAGGCACAACAAAACAGATACACTCGATCAAGGTTTAAAACTCCTGGCTTCGAAGGATGCTGTGTGCCCAGAATTGTTTCTCTTCAAAATCTGTATGTTCGAGCCCTGATCCACAGCTCCTAAGAAGGCAACTGTATTTGGACACAGGGTCCTTTTTTAAAAAATGTTTTATGTATTTTTGAGAGAGAGAGAGAGAGAGAGAGCGTGCGAGAGAGAGCATGTATGAGTGGGGGAGGGGCAGAGGGGGACAGAGGATCTGAGGCAGGCTCTGCACTGACAGCAGTGAGACCCATGTGGGGCTCGAACTTATGAACCGTAAGATGATGACCTGAGCCAAACTCGACACCCCAGGTGCCCCTGGACATAGAGTCTTTAAAGAGGTGACTCAAGTTCAATGAGATCATGAGGGTGGCCCTAATGCAAGATGACTGATGTGTCTGTAAAAAGGTCAGGTCAGGACACAGTCACACACAGAGGACATGGGAAAAGAGCATCTACACGCCACAGAGAGGCCTCGGGAGAAGCCAGTGCCGCCGACACCCTGACCTCAGACTTCCCGCCTCCAGACCAGTGAGAAAATACACTTTTGTTGTTTAAGCCACATGTTCTGTGGTCCTTTGTTACGGCGGCCGGAGCCAACTCATACAGACACCATCTGAAAGTATAAGATGACCCACAGAGCCTGTGGGAGAAAATATTTGCAAATCCTACATCTGATGTGGGACTTGTATCTAGAATACCTAAATAATTCCTACAACTCAGCAATTAAAAATTCCAGTTAAAAGATGGGCAAAGGAATGGACATTTCTCTGAAAAAGATACACAAACAGCCATGAAGCCCGTGAAAAGACACTCCTGTCTTTAAACATCAGGAAAATGCAAATCTAAAGCGCCGAGTGATACCACCCTCCTCCCCCCCGGAAGGCTGAATGAAACCCCAGCGAGTGTTGGGGGCGTGGAGGAAATGGGGCCCTCACCCACAGCTGGCACAGCGTAACACAGTCCAGCCACTTTGGAGAAGAGTCTGGCAGTTCCTCAGGCAGTTAAACATGGCATTGCCACATGAGCCAGTGATTCCTCTCCTGGGTGTGTGTCCCAGAAGAATGATGAGTGTGCACACAAGACCTTGTACCGGTGTTCACCACGGCGTGATGCAGAGCTGACCCAAATGCCCACCAGCGGATCGAAGGATAAACGCAATTTGGTAAATCCATACAATGGTTACCACTGGGCCATTGAAAAGGATGCGTACTGACTGGTGTGCAGCACAGGCAAATCTTCACAGATGTGACGTGAAAGATGCCAGCCACGGAGGGCCTGCTGTCTGCTGCCGCTCTTGCTGGAGCCCAGGACACAGAATGGATAACGACAAAGTACATTAGTGGCTGCGCAGGGCTGTGGGGGGAGGGAGAGGGAGGGGGTGAGAACTAAAGACCCAGGTCTCTCTTGGGGTGATGGACATGTTCTAAAATTAGATGTGGTGATGGCCCACAACGCTGTGACTGTGCTGAACACACCGATCGCTCACTCTAAGTGCACGGACTGCATGGTGTGTGAATTACACATCACTAAAGCTGTTTTGAAAGAACACTTACTCTCCGGGCAAACCGGAGCATGTGGCCGACTGGCTGTGGAAAGTGAGCGGGGCCAGCAAGTCCGCCAAGACCCTGCTGGGAGGCCCCAGCGCAGGGCTTTCATCTGTTGGCGCAACAGAAGGCAGACCGTGCAGACCTTTGCAAGCGCCCAGCTGCCAGCGGGCCCTGGTCTGGCCCTGTGTCACCTTTGACCCTGAAACCCCACTGGGTGCACCCCCTCCCTGGGGGCTGGAGAGAACACACCAGACTCAGCTGGTGCAGGCACACTCTCATGGACCCGTGTCTCGCTGGAGGTGAGAGGCCTGGGGGCCTCATGCCCCCCGCCCCCCGGCTCCCGTCCTTCAGGCCTGCGCCTCTCCTGAGCTCTCTCCGGGGGCCAGTTGTGGCGAGTTTCCATCACCCACAGACAGCAGCTCAAGGACCCGCCTGATGCTTCAAATAGAGGACAGATGGTGACTTGCGATCAGTTTTTATGCGCTGCAAACATTTATCATAGCATTGACCTCGGCACACGGAGGGCCAGCGGCGCGTGGGACCCCACAGGGCTTCTCCCCAAGTCCCGTTTCGTGTGGCCAGAGCCAGACGCCGATTCCTCGTGAGTGTTCAAGGGGCCCAAGGCAAACTGGGCTCCCGCAAACCTGTCTCCAGTCCGCACTCCCAGCCCGAGGCTCACTGCCCCAGGCGGTGTGTGTACACCCAGCACAGCTCAGCCTTTCCATTAACGAGCTGTCAGAGCCCGACTCCTGGGCCAACTCATTAATCATCGTCTCTGTTTTGTGCCTGGAAATAATGGCCATGTGCTTGCTTCTTCTGACTTCCACGTGCCTCCCTGCAGGTGCGCAGCTTAGGTGAAAATCCTCTGAACACAACTTGGCAGGTCTGTTCCCAAACAGGGGCCGTGGTGCCTCAGCCCAGATGAAGGGGTTTTCGGACCCTCGTCTGAGTGCAGGATCTTCAATGGTCCCCCTTCCCAAGAGGCTTCTTCCTCCCAAGGCCAGTGGTGACTTAGCCCGTCCAGAGGCTTCCCAGGGGTCACCCGGCCCATCCTGGCTCGGTAGGGGACAGCTAGCTCACTGCAGGTGCCGACAGTGCGTCGGTTCCAGAAACTCCCATGGCGCCTCTGCTGGCCTTGGTTTAAAGACAAGCAGGGGCTGGGGGGGGGGGCGGGCAGCTCGTTTCTGGACAGGGTCCTGAGCGCCCTGTCTGGGACGCTGTGCCGGCCCCTGTGCCTGTGTCTGTCTGTCGCACGGAGAGAACAGAGCTGGTTCTGATACGTCCCAGGGATTAGGGGCTGCTGTGTGTGGAGCGCCCCGGGGCTCCGGCCACAGCCATGCCCTGGGGTGACCTGTCCTGTCCACCGGCTCCCACCTGCCAGCCTCACCCCTCCAGGTCAGGGTCCCTGGGGAACACCAGCGAGGTGGGGACATCACCCACTCGGCTCCCTGGGCGCCGGCTGCTCCCCCTCCTCTTGCGGACAGTGCCTGGGGGCTGGCCCTGCTCACACTCACCTGTGGCCTCTGGCGGGGCCACAGAGCCTGGCAAGAGGGCACTCGAGGGGCGAGGCCTGAGGACAGTCCACAGCAATTAGGGGCAGAGACGCAGCCAGGGCGTCTGCTGTCACCCTTCTGGAAGGTTCCTCAGGACCAGAGCCAGCTCTCGTTTGTTTTCCGCAGG